GCATTTGGGGCTAGTTGTAACATTTTCTAAGGCAAGTAATGCTTCCGATAATTTATTCTTTTATTATTTAAAAAAATGACTTGTTACTAAGTAATTCTCCATAAATTAACACCAACTATAATTAATACAAATAAATAATGACTCCTATAATATAAATTTAAATCATAAATCAACGTAAGCTACAGTTTTATCATAATAAACAAAAGGTATAGTAGTAGTAGTACTTACTCTTGCAAAAAAATTACATTTACCCGCATTTACAAACTATAAATCCCACCAATTTTTTTACTTGAATCTGTATAGAATTCTTGTATGGTACAACTAGTCCCCAGGTTTTATTCCATTTAATCCCACGTGTGATTTTTTACAATAATTAAGATATCTTTTTAAACATTTCAGCAATAACAAAAATTGTTGCACGTTCTCATTGATTGATAAATTTAAAATTAAAATTTATCATAAATTACAAAAAAACAAATAAGATATGTAAATTTAAAGTTAGTTGATAATAAAAATGCAACCGAAATATTATCATAAAACAATTTCATATTACCTATCTAAAATGTACAGTTCTGCTTACTGCTGTGACAATAAGACAAATGTTTTCAATATTTTTAAGCTTCCATTGAAAAACTGCCTGTTACTTCTTATCCCCGTTACTAATAGCCCCCATAGCCCTAGCTTTCCTATATATGTATATACGAGCAAGCTACAGGTTGCTTTAGATTTTATTAGAATCTTCTTCAGAATGTATTTATAGTATCGCCTACACAGCGCAAATGTCATTTGTCATTCAGATTGGCTCATTTAATAAAATAAATTCAATCAATTCAATAAAGTTTTGGTTATGCAAAGAATTCGTATTAAAATGAAACTTTTTCAACTTCATTATAATTTGAAAATTCTGATAACGTTACAATGCAAATGACAGTTATTGAAGTGTTCATGAATAATTTTAAATCATTGGCAGATCATTCTCAACATTCTGTACATATATATCTTATTTTCTTATATTTTAGCAATTGTTCATTGCTGATGCAGTAATGTTAAATTGTAGTATGATTTTTTAAATTTTATTTGATTTACGTTATTATATAAAGAGATCAAGTAATTTGTAATAGGTAATTTTTTAAATATTTTAACTACCCTCAGGGTAAAGTTATGATAATCGCAAAAAAATCGAAAAAGAAAAGTTTTGCATATCTTTACATTTCAAGGGTTTCTGAACATTTTGGCTTATCTCAGAAAATGGGTTATGTGTGTATGTTTGGATATAATTTTTCGTCCACAATTTCGGCGGCACAATCAACCGATGTGAATGATTTAAAACACATTCGATTTTTATTGATGGGAAGATGCGCTGATTAGTTTTTGGCGAAGAAGTGTCCAGCAGTTTCGAAGATACGGGACAAAAAGTGTCAAAACGGTAATTCAGTTTTTGAAAGAATGGAGCGCCCGATTTGAATGATTCAAAAAACATTTTGCTTATATTGACAAAATAAAATTTTGATTACATTTTTGCAGATACAGGTCTAACAGTTTCGGCGATACACAGGAAAAAGTAAAAAAAATACAATTCTGCGGTAAAAAATGATCATTGGACTAGATCGTCGCTATATAATATGAGCGATACATATATAGTATTATCACTTTGAAAATGTTTACACGTTGCCGCAATACATATTACTAATTATTATAATTAATAATTAATAATCTAATAATAGTTAATCATTTTCGCTTCCAAACATACAACTTACCCTCGATTTTATCTGGCAATCATAAACAATTAAAAAAAGTGTGTTTCTAAGCACGATCGTCAAATTAAAAGTGTGCGGCAACGTGTTAAAACAATTGTTATTAATCGTAAATTAATATTTATTGATTACTGTTTTTTTTCTTGAATATTTATTTCTGGTACGGGAGGTTTCAACAATTTGCCTTAAGGCACGATGCCATACGTCACTAGTTTTATGTTTTTAAATTGTGAATTTACAACTTGCTTACGAAAAAAAAGCTTAATATAATGTCGATAATGCATGGCAACCAACTACAGCAGCACAAATTTCCATTGTTTCTTGAATAAATTGCAACAAAAATTTATTTAAAGTAGATCTTTTATATGATATAATAATTAATAAATCGCAGATCATGTCATAAGAAATAAATTTAAAATTTTCGTGCACTGCTTAATCTACGAGTTGAAAACCATTTGGCGCCAATGTATTTGTAATCATTTTCTAAATTCGATCTGATTCCCAGATATCTACAAAATTTAAAACACTTAGAAGAAAATCTCAACTCACGATCGGCCTAAATCTCCTCTCCTGCATAACTTTGGGTAAACATAATAATTTAAACGAAAATGAGTAATATATTTGAATGTATGAGTATGGTGCTCATTGATATGGTGTTTGCACGTATTTATTCCATCTAATAAAATAGAAAGATTTAATAATACAATGCAAAATTCAATTGAATCTCCTCAATATATTGAACTTATTGTACGAGATGCAAACATCCGAAAAATGATGCATTTTATTTATTATTTTTAAAGTATTTTATTAATATACACACGATTTCAAAGAAAAGCTATTTTAAAAGGTCATGTGAAATAGATATTATAGAAATGAGTACTAATAGATAATGTCATCTAAAAAATTTATAGATGACATTCTAGTCAGAATTGAAAGTATTCAAAAATTTCGATGCCCTATTGAACCCCGCGTATAAACATTTTTATTGAGACTTCATAATAATTTTTTATCATTAAATATGGAATAAATTATTAAATGAATTAAGTAACAAATTGAAAAAAAGAATGTCGTAATAACATATGTAACATATGTAATTTTATTGAATTTATTATAACATTTTAAAATAAAATAGTTATGAAGTTGTGTAGTGGTTTTTTAAAACAATTGTTCTAAATGTCACAATTTATCTAAAATTAGAAAACTTTCAAAATTTTGTTACCAATTTATTCTAAAAATATTCACTACTACAAATTAAGAAATATTTCATGCGAATAACACAGATGCTTTACCTTGTAATTACATATAGTAAAATAATAATGGCGTTTAAAACTTTTAGTTTTAGTTTAGTAGTATACAAAATACTGTAATTAGCTCAATTCTACTATTAGACAGACCAAGAAAATTATTATATTGTAATTCATGATTGCTACTTTACCCATATTTACGAATAGACTAGATGCTATAAATCATGTTCATTAGTTTTTGGCAAAGACAGGTCCAGCCATTTTGAGATATGGAGCAAAAATGCATAGGTAAAAGTTCCCTGACGCCGGACGGCCCAAACACCGGACACTCTGTTTAATACGTATTATTTAAGCGAGTATAAATCTTTTCATTTCAAAATACAAGTGCAAGGGCATGGAGGGCACACAGGTACATGATCACGTGCCAAGCCTTGCCTGTGACGCACACGGCCACGGCGAGAGCAACCTTTTCCTGTTTTAGGCGCAAAATCACGGCGTTACCTATATATCAATGAAGTAATTCTAATTCTAGCATATTTATGCATTTACATTGAGTGGTATGGAAAGATAAAAGTTGTACTTGACTTGACCCTTAGTGCCTGAGTAAACATATTGAAATTTTTTGTGAGAATTTACGTAATTTATTCCAATTATTAAATTTTGTTCTGTCTGAGTGCTAACGGTCATAACATACCCCCATACTCGTATTTGTCCTAGTCAAAGAATGAAAATCTTATGATGAATGCTCCAGCTGAAGCATCGGTGTGGGCCAGACAAAAGGGTAGATGAATAGTAATTTTTTTTTGCAATATCTAAGAATCTTCGTCAAACACACATGTGCAGACACTCCAGAGTGTAGAGATAGCTGTTTTTGTGTTCAATACTGGTTATTTTCAAATGCCCGGTACTAGGAGCCACTTTGTAAAATCAAATTTTTTGTTACCAAAGTTTGATTAATAGTATCAATTTTTTTAGCAAAGGTTGCGTTTTTGTTAATTTGGTTTGATTTCTAACTTTGTTATCTAACATAAGTCATAATTTAATGAACATTTCGTAAAATATTTTTGATTTATTTATGAATAACCTTATAGGTGTCCGCCACTCGGAGACTTCCACCTAAATATCAGTTTTAGAGAGAACGGAATATTTAATTAGAATGATTCAAAAATCATATTGCTGATGTTAACAGTGCGAAAAAATGATTACTTTTGAAAAGCAGGAATTCGGCGGTTTCAAAGTTTCTAACAAATCTATTTTTTTGTTTTTTTTTTTAATTTTTGATGTTTTTTTAAAATTTTCTTTAAACTTCAAAATTTTGTAAGTCTAAAGTTCTACATACAGTTAAAATAAATAAATTTAACTTCACAATTCAATTGCAAAATAGTAAACACATACAGTTTGTCATCCAAATATGAGACTTATATTACATTTGAACTTTAAAATACAAACTATACAATTTATAGTAGTTATGATATATATTTGAACACAACAAAAGAATTGTTATTAATCATTGATCAATTTTGATTGGTTACTGATTATTTTTATTCTTTGAATATTCCGGAAATAAACGAAATTTATCATAATGCACAATGCCATGAACCACTAGTAAATAATATAATCATAGAGCAAATGAAATATATAATATCGACGTTAACTTACTACGATGTGTTTTGTCCGCTGGGTCTCGCCTTAAGACAACTCTCCGTTTGGCGGCTGCCGCAACCGGAATTGTCGGCCCCGAATCAACGTCATGGATCACAATCTTGATAGCTTCACCGTCAACGGACGCTTGCCGTCGAGGGGCTTCCATGTCTTCCAGCGCAGACGCCGACCATGGCGTAGGCGGCGGCAAAGCACCGCGATCTCGCAACGCAGCAATGTCAGGCCTGCAAATATTAAAATACATGAAAAACGATCCACTTCAAACGCTTTGAATTCTGACCAAATTAAATATAGAGTAGAGCGGAGCACAAGATCCATTTTTTAACTTTCCGTAGACGATTTCGGGCGTATGGATGAACCGATTTGAAGAATTAAACAATTCCTATTGACAGGGAGATGTTCTAATTAAGCCCGGTGCACACGACGCCAGTATTCCTTGTAATATGATTTCTATCGTAACAGGATTTCTAGCGAGCAAGAATTTTGCGCCAGATTTTCACTTATTTTATGATTAATATTAATTTCGTACATTTTCAAATAGATTATTATAAATATATACTGTGAATTTCACAATTTATATTTTATAGGTCTAAAATACACTAATGCTTATAAGTGTACAAACAGAGAATTGTATGAATTGTAAACAAAAACATGTACGTATCGCATCTGATTAGAATTAAGTGAAACAATAATAATTAAAATATAATAAAATGCTTCAGTTTAAGGGGCACAACTAGTGTGAAATTTTCAAACTGTAGTCGAATTTTCATATTTTTTCATATTTCGATAGGTTATACCTTTAAAAATAACATACCAAAATTTCAAATCGATATCTTAAATAGTTTTTGAGTCACAGCCATTTAAAGAGTATGTATATAGTATATAGTAGAACGATCATTTTATCTTTAAACGCGTTTTTCTCGAAACAGCATTTTTCGAATTTGCTGCAGCGATTACTCAAAAACAAATGATCCGATCACGCCGCCATTTAATCAATTTTTGATTTCTGTTTTATCATAGTTCATTTTACAGACAACATTATCTAGTTTAACGATTTTTTTTTGGATTTGATCCACGTAGAAGGCCGGAATCACTGCAGCAGTGAAAGGCCTTTTTTGTGCCGTTGGAGATCGACGATAACTTAAAAGATATTTAGTTTTTTTCTTCAAAAATTTTGAGATGTGCTGATTAGTTTTTGGCAAAGGCAGGTCCAGCAATTACGGAGATAAAGAGCAATGAGTGCAGAAAATTTAAATCGAGTTTTTGAGAGAACGGAGCATCCGATTTGAATGATCTAAAAACATTCAACTAGTAATGATTGGGAGAAGTGGTAATTAGTTTTTGGCAAAGGCAGGCCCAGCCCATTCCGAAGATACAGTGCTAAATGTGCAAAAAATGACAGTTTTTGAGAGAACTAAGCGTCCGATTCAAATGATTCAAAGAACTTTCTGCTTGTTTTACCGAAACGAAATTGATTTTGGAAAAAAATTCTTGTTTCAAATTTTTTTTTTGAAAAAAAAAATTATTTTTGTATATCGAAAATAATTCAGATTTTTATTTTAATTCTGTTCTAACATACTTTAAACAAATAATTTCAACTTTCCAATTCAGTTTATATAATTCTTATAAATATTAGACAATGTTACAATATTTATAATAATCTATTTTAAAACATTTAATATTCCTCGATCATTTCGTTACGGTACGGGAAGTTCCAGCAATTTGCTTTAAGGCACGATGCCATACACCCAACTAATTTTTTTTTAATTTTGAGTATTTTTGCAAATTTCAAAATTTTTGAAATAAAACGATTTGAATTTTTTTGTAATTTTTTGGAAATTTTGAATTTTTTTGATATTTCAGATAAAATTACGAAAATTTGAAAAAAATGCATATTTAAATTTTTTCGGAAATTTGAATATTTTAAAATTACTGAACTGCCTTTCCTAAACTAATCATTTATTCACGCCGCTATATATACACAATAGCTATTTACAAAATAAAAACTAAACGCTTCCAAAATCGAAGTAAATGAATCAAGTACGCATTGATATTTTCGTGTCAAAATACAGCTTTCCTATTGGACACTGAAGGTATCGGCCACGAGATCGTTCATCTATCGCCGACATAGGACATGCTCTATTCGTAAAATACGGCAGGAATTTGCAAGGACTGAAGTTGTTATGAAATCAAATTCCGACGTTGTTAAGGCAACGGTTTTACTTAGAAATTATGATGAGTATACCGCCGTTGTGAATGCGTGAAATCTAGCAGGCCAGATCGCAAATTATGTCGCGCAAGATCGTAAATTATGGTTTATCATGTCGTTCCTAGGGTAACAAACAAACAAAAACTGTCCAGTATGAAAACTGGCGTCGTGTGCACCGGGCTTTAGTTTTTGATAAAGGCAGATCCAGCCATACTAAAGATACGAGGCAAAAGGTGCCAAAAATGTCAATATATGAGAGAACTAAGCATTCGAATTGAATGATTTAAAAAACTTTCTATTTGTGTTGACAAAACGATTGCTTTTGGGGAAAGAACTAGTTTAGAATATTCAATACAAGTTTAAATAATCTATTTATTTTTTTGTTTAGCTTATTTATTTATTTATTATAGACAATCAAAAATACGAATTTCTATTAGCCATCCATGTAGCTATGTGATCTATTAAAATATTTAATATTAAATGTTGAATATTTTAATGGATCATATTTTTTATTTTAATAAATATTATATATTCAATTTATTGTTTTTTTTAATGAAATATGATTTTTATTGATGATGAACTTACACGTGTCAAACTGATAAAGTATCTAAATTAAACAATAGACAACACTCATAATGCGCTACAATGATCCATTCATAAAATCGAACATCAATCATGATATATATTTGGCTATTCTCATTAGCTCTACGTTTACGTTTAACTTTAGCAAATTTTTAATCTTTACGAAAATACGTGGTGAGTATTTATTTATAAGAATTTAATCAGTTTTGTGTATAAAATAATATAAAAAAATAACATTATTTCACAGGAAAATAGAACATTTTTTTATATCAATAATTTTTTAGTTTGTTTTTAATATCTTTTAGTTCCGCTGAACGTGAAGAACAAGCGGATACTTTACTTGACGAATAATGTATGTAATATAATAAATGCGACCAATAATATTGTACGGCGCTCCAGCATGCAACGCGGCAGCAAAGACTAACCTACGGAGGCTACAGACTGTACAAAACAAAGCTTTACGACAAGTACTTAGCAAATCAAGAGACCCACTGACGCGACACTATTACTCTTCTAGAAACATGAACAGACTGACGTACCGACAGTACTCGAAAATAAAGAAGCTCACGGAGAACTTTCATCTCAAATGCAGAGTTTGGCATGGCGTGCTTGCTACACCAAACTATTTCTGGTGTATATTGGCCTAAGGCTTCTATGTTATCATTGGGGTGATCCCAATGTATACCTTAGCGGCACCATTTTTGCTTATGTATTTTTATTGTTGTGTGTTTTTTGGAAAAATTATTAAACCTTTTCTTGTTTTAGTCATATAAAGTATATTTTAAATAATTATTATTGTTTTTAACAACCGATATGCTGGACACAATACCTTCAGGTAAAATGTTCAACTAAAAAAAATGTGAAATGTTATGTATATATATACTTAATAAAATATATGTTTTTGAGTTGAATTGAGGAATAATGTCGCTCTATAAGGCGATATGTGGTACATATCTACTATAAAATATTTATTGCCCTCTACTATGAAGTAGTCTTATTAAAAATATTATATTTTACTTGTTTTTAAGTGAGACAATGACTTGAGTTAATATTGATGAACATGTGTACCCGTGGACCTTTATTACCTGCTCTACCCTATAAAATATAGAACAATCCAAGAATTATGAAACAGTTTTTTTAGTTTATTTTATCTTAAGCCGGCCACATAGGTAACTGTATACATGTGCAATTGAATGAATGCGCAACCAAGCGTATTTTCACAGTGCCCACAGATGGCTCGAATTTATGTTAAGTATTTGCACATGCATATCAAGCATGTCAAATAAGAAACGTCAAAACATAACCTGGAAATATATTTTTTTCATTAATTCATATATTCACAGCATCAGAGGAGAATTGAAATGATTCACAGAGCTAATTTAAATACTTTCAAGTGTTTATAACTCCGAGTTATGTATTCGCTACAAAATAAACCAAAAATGGGACATGTGCTGCCACACGCCGCCAACGAATGAACTTGCCGACTTGAATAATTGCGCAATTAAAATAATCGAAAAATGCTCATGCCTACTTGCTTGTACCAGTCTGTCAAGTTACGTCAAAATCATCCCACAGACGCTACGGAATACATGTTCAAGTCACAGGTTGCGCAATTATACAGCATTGTTTGTGGCCGGCTTTATTTTCAAAGTACCATAAACGGCCAAGTGAAAAACAGCTATGTTTAAAAATCCATAACAAAAGTATATTTTTGCGTTTGATTTGTTTTGATTGCGCAGTTACTCAGTTCTCCAGACCTTAATTTAATTTTTAAGTATACGTCTTATAAGATGTATTGTTAATTTTTAGAGTCAATAGTTTCTTATATAACCTCTATAAAAGCTTACACCTGGATGGGATAAAAAAGTCAAACTAAACTTCATTCTGGCAAAGGTGTAAAAAATAAAAAATTGCAAATAAAAATTAAATTAAGTTTAAATAAGCTATTTTACAAGAGAAAAAATAAATAATTGTAGTTATTCCAACTCTGTCGATGAATATTTCTGATAAAATATCAAGTCAAAGTTAATTATAGTTTTATCCCAGCACCCATGAAATTTAAATTTTGCATTAATTGAATAATGTAGCTATTATTTTGTGAAAACGCTTCAAAATTAAAAACAAGACATTGGATCGGTTTGCCTCCTGATCGACTTAATTTACCCCGCCTATGAGACAAATAGAACCTGGTTACAAATTTTTGAAAAACAGCTAAAAACAACATTTTTGAAATAGTGAATTAACTGGGATTTTTATTGAACATATGTGTTATTTTGGTGATTTGATTGGTTTCGTTTACACAATATATTTGCTCAAAATCAAATTGGACCTTTGTTTCCCGCCCTACCCTATCTACACGATAACATAAAACGTGAAAGTACATAACTAATTATAATACATGTACTAATTGTTTTTCAATTACTACATGTAGTAAAAGTTTGAAGTTTTTAAAAATGTTTTATATTGACAATTAATACGAGTAAAATAAACTAATATTTCAAATCAAATATTAATTCTGAACACAGGAAAGAACGACTGAAGCAAAAACAACCCCTCTCGAATAAGTCACATCTAAACCGGATACCATCATGCCCGGACGCTCAATCAATTAATTGGCATCCGATTTAGACATTCTAAATACTACCAAAAAAAATATCGATGTTTCATGATGAAAAAAGTGCAAATATCATAAATAAGTGTTAGTTCTAATATTTTCTGCAGAATAATCTAAAGTCTACATTCCATATGATATTACTCAACACATCGAGATTACGTAAACTATCATCAGTTTAAATTAAATTAAAAAAAATAAATACACGGCATGAAATAACATTCTAATAATTATAGTGAATATATTAGTGATCATTAATCAATCAATCTTGAAAACAAACATAATGTTGTTTTTATTCGCATACGTAAAAATAGTAAAACAGATATTTCTTGAATATTTTATTTCCAATTTGTTTATGTGGACTATAACTGTTTAAAGTAACAAATTTGTATGTTGTTTATAATTCTAGTACAATATATATAAAAATATGTAATCCAATTCAGCATATATATATATATATATATATATATATATATATACATCATTTAGCTAGCGCAAAACCTAGCCGATTACGTCCCATATCAAATGTTGTATAAAATTTGCCAATAAAAATATCACCGAGAATCCATAAGAGCCCATTTTCAAAAGGTAAGTCTACGCCCATAAATCCTGACAAACAAATCACTTTTTGATTGCGAATTTCTCGTATAATATAATCAGTTTTTTCTAATTTGAAACTTTTTCCATTTAAAATGAATTCAATTACTGGTAATTTTGTCATATTGCGACAATCGATCATATATTCACCTCCCATTATTGGGGTAGCGCCTATAAAGTTATTTAATAATTGCATGTCTTCCTTAGGTCCAACAAAAAGTCTCGTGCCAGTATCTGCAATGGCCTCACATCCACCAACACAAAATGACTGATTTCCAACTTTAACCAAATCCATTTTAAATTGCCAAAAATCTGTTTTGGTCACAGGCAAATATGTAAATTCGCCACTGTAATGGTCTGGATCAGATCCACCCAGTAAAATTTCGCCGGCAATTGAAGCGGTAGGATCGCGGTTGAGATAAAAAGAAAAAATCGGTTTTTCAATCAATCCTTGTTGAAACATATTATAAAACACTGGAACTACACCATCGATAGAAAGTGAACTGTATCCCAATCCGAGGATACCGTCAAATTTTGCGGTAACAAAAGCTAATCCTGGTTCAACCGTAGCTTCAGTAAACGTTTGATTTACAATATCTAATCCACCTATATTGACTGTGTCAGTAGATAAAAATCCAGTAACACTTCCAGATTCATATTCAATAGCACAATTGGTACCGTTTTTAATGTATGTGGAAGATTTTGAGCTGTCATATTTATTATGCACTAAACAAGCGACATTTGCGACTTGGCACTGTTGGGACGGAATCCATAGGTCTGACGATCCTGTGTCAAAATTAACATTGAATGCTTGCGGAGGATTACCAATGGTAATACGTCCATAATACTGAGCATCTAGGTAATTTGATAATGGCTCAGGAATACTTTCAGGATCATACCTAAATGGTAACTGCTCTATTTTCTTTCCAAGTTCTTGCAATTGGTACGAACACTTTTAACTTTATGTAATTGTACTCGTATGATATTTCCATAACATGATGCTATTAAAGATATTATGATAAACTGGTATAACATTTTGGAATATTTATAGCACAACACAGTCACAGCTTTGTTTCGTTATTACCATTTAGTAAATTTTCAATTTGACATCTCGTAATTTCCAATGACAT